AAGTATTTGTTTCAGCAAGATAGCAATCAAGAAAACCTGAAAATCTTTCTGCTACAAATCCTTACAAATAGCCAGATAAAATATAAATGTAAAACATTATTTTAATGAATAAGCACATTAAAAGGCAGAAAGGAAATCCCCAAGTGTCAGAAACAAAGAAGGATAAGGAACTTTCATTAGTGGATCAGGGCCCACGGCTGCCCTGGAGAGTTTCATATGAGGATTTTTAAACACTGCCTTGGGATAGAAAAATGAACCCCCTACAGAAAGGGAATTGAAAGTGAGACTAAAACTCCACCCCCTGCATAATGTTAAAATTTTTGTTTTCTTGAGACAGGGTCTCACTCTGTTACCCAGGCTGGATAACAGTGGTGCAACCATGGCTCACTGCAGCCTTAACCTCCCAGGGCTCAGGTGATCCTCCCACCTCAGCCTCCCAACAGGTCTGTGCCATCACACCTGGCTAGTTTTTGTAATTTTTTAGTAGAAATGGGATTTTGCCATGTTGCCCAGACTGATCTTCAACTCCTGAGCTAAAGTGACCCACCCGCTTTGGCCTCCTAAAATGGTGGCATTACAGGAATGAGCCACCATGCTTGGCCAATGTTAAAATTTCTATTAAAGAACAGACCAGAAAAATGTCTGCCTACTGGCATAGGAAAACAGCAAGGAATTTTGTCTGTTTCTACTGGGTTCTGAAGAGGGGGAAAAAAGTCTTACCTCAAAATTCAAAGTAAGATTTACGTGCCTAATTTAGGTTTGGGATTTAAGGTTGAGGTTCAAATTTCAAGAAATTGACATAAAAATTGTTCAGGAGCTAGAGTTATTTGAGTAAAGCAAAAGTAAAATCCTCTCTGGAAGGAAGGTTCTAGGTACAATGGAGTAAGCACATTCCACTCTATCTTTCCCACTGAAAGTAGCAATAAAACCTGGAGAGATGGGTGGCATAGTTATTTAAGGATATTCATAGTTATTTACTTTGAAAAGTAAATAGAAACAGGCATACTGATGAAGCCGGAATTTGAATGACAACAAAACTGGCAGATTAATATAAGACCCAGAGTCTTATTTGGAAAAAAAAAAAAAAATCCTAATGAAAATGTCCAGGATACAACCCCAAATAACTCAGCATATGAAAAACCAGGAAAAGACAGCCAACAAACATCAATGATAAGATGACACAGATGTTTGGATTTAAGGGCTTTAAAGCCAGATAAAATGCTCATCAGCCAGGCCTGGTGGCACATGCCTGTAGTCCCAGCTACTGGAAAGGCTGAGGCAGGAGGATCACTTGAGCCCAGGAGGTTGAGACTAGCCTGGGCAACTTAGCAAAGCCCCAACTCTACCAAAAAAAAAAAAAAAAAAAAAAAAGAAAATTAAAAATTAGCCAGGCACACAGTGGTGCGCACCTGTGATTGTCCTAGTTTCTAGGGAGGCTGAGGAGGGAGGCCCATTCGAGCCCAGGAGTTCAAGGCTGCAGTGAGCTGTGATTGTACCATTGTACTCCAGCCTGGGCAACAGAACACAATACCCTGAGGAACAGAGGAAGGAAGGAAGAATTAAGAAACAAGGGGATAAAGGGACTGGTCTAAACTGTGTCAAATAGAGTGCCGTAGAGATAGCAAAAATAACAAAGAAGAGACAACAGATAACAGGAAAAAAGTTAGAACTTAAAGTATAATTAAAAAGAAAAAAAAAGGAAAAAAGATGAAATTTTTGTAGAATTATAAAAAACATTCTGAATTAAATAAAAATATACCAAAATTTGTGGGATGTGACTATAGCAGTGCTTAAAATGAAAAGTATGCCATTAAGTGTTAGAAGAGAAAATATCTCAAATCAATAATCTAAACTACTACTTTAAGAAACTAGAAAAAGGAAATTAAACCCAAAGCAAGTAAAAGGAAGGAAATAATAAAAAAATAATAATAAAATCAGCAGAAAAACAAAAAAGCCACAATGAAACAAAATGGTGTTTCTTTGAAAA